ATTGTTTATAATGACTTTTGCTAAAATTTCAAAATCAAAAGTTATCAAAACAAATTCTATGGGACTGAGAAATATTATTTTCTACTTTTTAGTCCATTTATAAAAGCGTTGTATATTAAAAAGTTTTTTTTATATTATTTTTTTTTTGTCTACAATAACAGCTTGAGTGAGGTCTAAGTTGTATTTATAGGAAATTCAAAAACATTTGCACTTACTAAGAGCGCAAAACTTCTTTCCAAGCACGAATTGTAAATCCTCCCCCACTTACTAAATATTTCATACTCACAAGAAAACTTTTTTCTTCAACATATCGGTCCATGTCTTATCCAAGCTTGCTGCCTCTTCTACCCAAAATAGTGGCATGGTGAGTGTACGCAAATTCTTCATACTCTCCACTTCGGGCACGGGCATCACCGAAAGGCTGAATTGTAGACGTTTAGCGGCAGATAAGGGTGTGCCCGATATCTGTGGTGAGAATGCATTGGCATAAAAACTTAGTTGTAAAATCAAAGAACTAGATAGCCAACTGTTAAGAAAAGTCGCTAAGCTAAATTAAAATTTTGTGAACAGCGTGAAGGGTGTTGCCAACCAAACGAAATTCTGCTATTTTGCTCAGATAGCCATCTTATTTATCTAACTAACTACATACATAACTATTTGAAGCCGAAGCCATTGTAGTCTCAGCTTACCCCCCATACCATTCTATACTTTCACCTCCTTCAAGGGAATTAGCAATATTGTTTAGTCCGCCGAGTCAAATGATATTGGGTTGCGACGCGAACTCACATGGAATTGAATACAGTTTCTACTGATGTATTGATAGAGGTCTAACTTGAAATATAGAAAGAAAAAAATTACAAAGTTGCCACTTGTTTGAAAATTGCAATTTAAGTAATTTGATACGATAAAGTAAATATTGCAATATGGGTATCAAACTGAAGAGGTTTAGGAAAGTTAACTGCCGAAAACATTTTTGAGGAGGGTTTCCACCTGTTTCAAAAATTGCAATGTAAGTAAATTAATAAGATAAAGTAAATATTGCAATATGGTTGTCACAAGAAAGAGATTTAAGAAGGCTTACAGAAGAAAATATTTTTGTTGAAGGTTGCCACCTGCTGGAACATATTAATTTAATTTAATTGATGAGGGAAATTGTGTATTCCAATATGGGTATCAAACTGAAGAGGTTTAGGAAAGTGTACTGCAGAAAATAGTTTTGAGGAGGGTTGCCACCTGCTGGACAAATTTTATTCAACTAAATTGATAAAATAAATGAAATACTAAAAAAGTATCAAACAGCACAAAAATAAGTTTAGTACAGAATAAAGGTAAAAAACCCACGATTTTCACCAACATAAGACAAGAAGTGATATGACTTTAAACAAAAATGTTATGGTGAATCGCATGAAATGATGGATGGTATTGGAAAAGGTATCTTTGCGTCATAAGTAGCTCATTAAATTCGGGCTAGCACTGGTACATATTTATCAAGTGCCCAAAGGAATTCTCAAAGGGCGAAGGAATTCTCGAAAGGCATTTTTCCCTGGACTCAAAAACCTGACATAAATTGAAGAGCCGACATGCAAGGTAACAAGCAAGTACTTTGGTTGGTTGTTTTGAAGAAGTACATATTTTGTCCGTTGATAAGAAGCAAGTCACATTGTGGTATACTGAAATTATCCAACTTTCTAAGGTGCCCAGGAGATTTTTGAATGGGGTGAAAAGAAGACAATTGGTCAGAATATTTTGTCGAGGCAAATTCCTAAGCCGAAGGTTAACTCTTGTAAATACTTCTAGAGTGATGTTGAGATTATGTAAGAGTCAGCCGGAGTGTAGGATAATTACACAAGACCTCACGGGTTACACACTCAGTCTGGTGGATATTATACCTCGACGCTGCTGGACACTTACAACACTTTCTCGGGTTGCGGATGAATTCCAGAGGTGAGTACAAATATAGAAGTGCTACCGGACTAAATCGGTACATGGCAACAGCGGCGATGACGGAATAGTTGGTGAGATTTTTTCTTGCCTCTTTTCTTTAAGACTTAAAAAGAGACTTTAGAGCCTGCCTGGCGTTTAGTCATATTGCCATACTCTGGAGAAAAGTTAGGGTAGGTTTAATTCCTACACAGAAAAAGGCTGCTTACGCATTAACAAAAAAATTCAGATAAATTAGTTTGACATCCTTTGCGATGAAGAACCAGGAGCAGATGGTCGAAAGATATATTAAATCAAATATTTCGGTGGACGGTGCTCTTATTTAGTACTACATTGGAAATCCTGTAAATAAGCTCTATGCGACCTTCTAAAAAAATCCAAGTGAAGCTGAAAGCAAGAAAGCAAGTGTTTCCACGGAACAGGAATATCTGGGAACAGTTTTCGACAGGCTACTGGCGCGGCAAACTCACATCGAGCTGAAGGTAAACCGAGGACCGAACATTTTCCAGCAATGCCGAAGAATTTTTTATAAGACTGATGGTCTAATGCGGGCTACGGTACTTTGGGTATATAAAGGTTAGTCAGGACTAGAAATAATTGTGTTTATAAAAATGGATATGCGTTTCCTCGGGATTTAGCGATTCAAGAGTAAGCATTTGAAGATGCTGTGCCATTTTATTTTTTTTTGTATAGTAGCGCGATGATGGGAGTTCCTGGAGTCTCTTTTGGAAGAACGTACATTGTTAGCTTGCTTACTGGGGAGCTCGTTAAAAACAGTTTCTACCAACTACAGCTAGATTTAAAATTGAACTGAAGTTGGCGGAACAAATTTCTTCCCAGCAAAGGTTGGCGCTGCGAATTGAAGTTCATCACATACATACAGTTTTTTTTTTTTGTATTTTACCATCTTTTAACGTGCCATACTTACTCTTTCGAATATGATAAATACACCATGTTTATCCTCTTGCGGATTCAAACCATCCACATCGGCCACCAACTGCGGATCGGCTTTGAAAAAGTGTGGCAGCGAAACAATCATGGGCGCCTCATTACATGGCGTTAAATCCATAGTTCCTTTAGGTGGACATTCGTCTGGATAGTTTCTACAAAAGCACTGATTTTCTGGTTCGTTCTAAAATTAGAAAATATTGTTAGTTGCTTATTTTTTATTTAAAATCTGGTTTACCACCTTTGGGTCGCCCAAGTCGAGCGTATAATAATATGCTGGTATGCCAGCATAGCTGGTCCGCTTCTCAAATTCTGCACCCAACGAACGACACAGATCGGCCGCGAATGACCAGAGTCCTTCTTCGGGTTTCATGAGTGGTGCAAAAATTGTCGTATCAGTGCCGCGATATTGATTACAGCTATCACCATTCCAAACGCTCAGCTCTTCGGCATCGTCGAATTCCAGTACACGTCCAATATCGCGACTAACCTTCACGCCTCTGGCTACTTTATAGCGTCCGGCGTCAGTGTGATTGGCCTTTAGTATTTGGATAAAAAACAGTAAAAAAAATTAATGAATATAAATATCCTATTGCGGTAGTTGAGAAGCCTGAAACTTACCCCTCCCATTAGTGAGAATTTGAAATGAGTTTCATTAATTTTTTCCGCCCCCTTAATCGCGCCAGTATGAAAGTTTAAACAAATAGCCGTCGCTGCAAAATGATCCACCGAACAGTCGACATCGATGCCTCTGAAGAAGATGTCCATAAAAGGTGCGCGTACGAAGGGTGTTTTGGGTTTGAAGAGCGCTTCAATGCCCTCGGCTATCATATTGATCATGACTTCTTTGTCGCGTTTAACAGCGATGGCCATAATCTTAAATATTTTTAAAATTATTTTTATTTATTTATATATTTTTTTCTAACAAGGATTATAGGCCCTTACTTGTACTAGTGGATGTGGCATCACAATTAACTCCTCGCCACTGAGTCCCATGTCGGGTCTGAAAATGAAAGTGTTGCGCATATTATAGGCCACCGCATCCTCATCCTCAAAGTCCTCCAAATCATATTTGTCCTTCCATTCTCTTTAAAATATTTAATTTGTATGTCTGTAAGTATATAAACCTGCGCGTTTTCGCTAACACTCACTCAAACACAAACGGTCCGACCTCCTGCAATCGCGGTTTGCCGCCATTTTGTACCTCATCAGGATTTGTCACATTGAATACGTAAATGGAGAAATTGAGTGCAATTGGAAATTTTTCCCACATTTGCCGTGGCTCGCTGCCGGGTTTCAAATTCAATTGCTTTGGGAAAATGAAATGACAATTTTTCATAAATAATTGAATTATTGTTTTAGATGCAGTTAGTTATCGGTATTGTTATTGGTTCGATGACAATCCTTTTTTTATAAATTATACCCCTACGTTCCACTCTATCAATTTGCTATGCATTTCATTCAACTCCAGAGTGTTAGTAGACTTTTCCCACGACTTTGAACACTGCAACCATGCGGAAATATTTTGAGTGTAAATTACATATGATTTCTAATTCTATCACCAAAGAGAGCGGCCTTGGCAGAAAGTGAAAATCCTCGATCACGAAGATTGGGCAAATGGGGTCCCTGCGCTTGATCCCAGATACGTACACTGTTACGATAACAGTTCAAGCATGGAGGACAGAGCAGTTGCAGGTAGTTTTGGACCCAGCATCAAGCTCGCAATTCACATCGGCAGATGGCTACGATGTTTCAGGCTAAATGATTGACAATTTTGTAATGCGCAAAATTATACCTTGAAAAGGTTTTAAAGGGTGCCGCTCTAGTTATCTTTTCAGATAGCCAAGCAGGCATCCGCGCGTTTCAAGCAGGAGGATGAAATCCAGGCTGGATAGAGACTGCTTTGACACGCTACAAGTTTTGGCAGCCAAAAAGATGGTTGAACTGTGCTGTGTACCAGGCCACCGAGGAATCGAGGGCTGGTCGCTAACTTCCTTACCATGCTGTGGTCTTAGTTGGCCCTCCTTAAGGGCCATAATTACTGAGAGGGCACACTATTAACGCAGTACACAAGTACTAGGTAGCGGTAGGTAGCTATCCTTTCAATAAAAACGATATCTGCTACTGGTCAAAACCGACTGCGATTTCACATCATAGAATCAGAATGCCGGCACTGCCTTGAAGACGATGATACTTTAAAACATATTTGACTTTGTCCAGACACAGATAGATTCATTTTAAAGCTCTAATGGCCGAACCCTTTGTAATATGTATGTATAAGTATGTTGGACACACTAGGTTAGGATCTCTACTTAAGCGGTCTCAGTGTCTCTTGTTCTGTTATACCCAATCATTTCCTTACTTAACTATATATGGATCTTTCTGAGAGAGATAAAATAAAGTTACAATTGTCTTTTCACATTTTTGGACCACCGAGAAGTCCGAAATGTCGCCATTTGGTGGGCCATTTTTAGAACATTGTGTAACAAATATATCTTCAGAAAATTTGCCCATTAGGACTATGGTGTTGACTTCTTTAAGCATTTCGACCGCATCTCCAACTAACGGCTTAGTTTTTCGCTTAGCTTAATTGGAGGACAGGACCACACAAAAAATAGAGGGAAGGTTCCTTAGGCCAGACTAGGTGTATTAAATGCTTTAGGGGTCGCTAACCACGACTCTGAAGTCCGTTTTGTTCCATAACTTCAGGATTTTTTCTAGCCCCTTTTTGAGGACGCTGATTATGAATACGATCAGATTTTCAAAGTTCAAAATGGCGGTAAAATTAAAAAAAAAAAAAATATTTATAAAATTTGGTAGGTTTGATTTCTGAAATCGAAAGTCCAAAATTGTTGCAAAATATTGCCATTTGCTTTCCAATATTTGACTTTACATTCGATGATTTTTGGTTCTCCAATTGGCTCTGTGCTGTGCCAAATTGCATCAGTTGTTCATCCCAAGTGCGGACAGAGCCTTCAGCACTTGGTCCTTCTATTCTGCTCCTAGGCGACCCTGCTTTCGTTGTTCACAATTGGGTGCCAAGTCGAAGAATACTTTCACTGGAGTGGCGTACAACATGGCAAAGCCAGCACAATCGTTGTATTTTTATGCGCTTAATTATGTCCATGTAGTTAAAAAGTACATACAGGTCGTCATTCCATCTTCAGATATTCTTTCGATACACGTCGTCCACGCGAACGGGGCCGTCGATCTTGCGTCTTGGAGTTAACGCTAAGTATATGTATAGAGATCAATGATGAAATCTCAGAATAATCATACAAAGAGACTGATAAAAATCCTAATATTTTACGCAAGAAGAATCAAATGATAAGGTCTAGATTAATGGAGAAAAATGCCCTAGCCCAAGGAACTTATATATGTAAGTCCCTGTAGTAACCGAGATATTCATTTCAGAAAATTTTTGACAGATATCAAAAAGTTAGTTCAATGTCAATGCAAATTAATTTTTTGTAGCTACATATGTATATCGATGTATGTATAACGTTTATTTTATTTAACACAATTCTTTAATTATTTTATTTGATTTTATTAATTAAAAAAAAATAGTATTTCAATAAATTAATAAAAAATAAAAAATTACAAATTATTATCTAATAGTGAGCTGATTGTTTGTTTAAATTCAGTAAATTAAAAAAAGCCCTGGTAGTTATTTTATTAATTGTAGAAATATTTTCAGAACCCTTACCCCCTTTATCATTTTATTTAATAATTTTGGAAAGCCTATAAATCCAATAAAAATGCCAAAGACGACTGTTTAGACATTTTCACCGTTTGCTAATTTTATTCTGTCTTCACCTCGACGCATGATAATTGCAGCATTACTTGCACTGCAGCAATTACTTACTTCTCCATACATACATATGTACGTGTCCTTTCCCTCCTTACTGTTTCTTTGTTAATAATTTTTTATGAATATTTAATATTTGTTGGTTGGTTTAAATGGATTGTCATCCTGGTGTCCGGCAATTAGCAAGTTTGCCATTTTGATTCCACAACTTCTGCTACCTACAGCCATTTGGCGGCTTTAATAAATTTCAGCACGTCATACAGAGAGAGACAGCTGCACTATGAAATATTCTGCAGGAATGGTTTGCCCACGTGTCTGTAGCCTCATTCTTGCGAGGGCTGGACACTCGCACAGCAAGTGTTCGACTGTCTCTTTTGAGCCCGGGTCATGGCAGCTGCGACAGTCCTACCCTTTCGGCATGTACTCCAATGGGCCAGTGCCCTGTGTGGCTTTAAGTGGGCCGTAGGACACCCAGAACTGCCGGGTAATTCTCTACGATCCTGTCCTTTTCTCGCGGGTATTTTCAAAGATTTGGCGTATTGTGAATACTTGGTCTATGGTGGATTTGCCAGGCTTAAAGCCACACTGATTAGCTTTGCTTAGAAGGCTGATCCCGCGGTAGTTGGCGCAAATGGCGGAGTCGGCTTTCTTGTGGTGTGGAGGTCGTTATTCCATCTTCAGATATTCTTGCGATACTCGTCGCCAATGCGAACGGGACCGTCGATCTTGCGTAGAATAGTTCTTCCGAAAGCACCCAAAGCCTTTTCAACTTTGTTCGAAACCATCAACGTTGCTGCGCCATATAGAAGAGCGGGCATAACGAGACTCTTGTAGAGCGTAATTTTTGATATCCGAGAGGGCGCTGCTTTTCAGTTGCTTACCGAGCTCAAAGTAGCAACTGTTGGCCAGGAGTTATTTTTCGCTTGTTCTCCACGCTGAACACACACACGCACATGAAAAAAAGTACTATGCCGTATGAGCGTCTATTCAGGGTTGGAAAGCGGGCCTGAATAATGAGTATTGTAGGGCACAACTCAAAAACAAAATCTTTCATCCCTTATGCGTCTGTCGAATTTGTGACTTTTCCTATCCTTCTTGCTCCTGAGCAGAATAATGTATGTAATATTATTACTGACGAAATGCTGACTGGTGTTTACGCAAAGTATATGTATAGAGATGAATGATGAAACGTCAGAAGAATCATACAAAGAGACTGATAAAAATCCTAATTTTTTTTACTCAAGCAGAATCAAATGACAAGGTCAAGATTGATGGAGAAAAATTGCATAGCCTAAGGAACTCACATACATATGTTATATCAGAAAATTTTTGCCAGATATAAAAATTTAGTTTACTGTGGGATATTGGAGGATATTTTGGATTCTGATAATTCGTGTTCATATTTGTAATCAGCGACCACAAAAACTCCTAAATGCCAAGGTAAATATTTTATATATATATTTTATTTTTATTATATTTTATATTTATAACATTTTGTCTATTACATAATGTCTGTCAGTGTATATTTAGTTAGAAAAAAATCTATTCTGGCGCGATAGAACAAAACAGACTTCAGATTCATTTTCAGCGACCCCAAAAACATATAAAACTCATACACACCCTGGTGAAAAAACCTTTCATGGATTTTTTTGTGGTCCCGTATCATTTTTTATTAAAAATGGTTAATATTTAAATGCGTAATTTCATTGCTTATTAATTTTTGTAGCTATGTATATCGATGTATGTATAAGGTATATTTTATTTAACACACTTCTTTAATTACTTTTTTTGATTTTGTCTATGAAAAAATGGTATTTCAGTAAACTAAAAAAAATTACAAACTACAATGTAGGAGTGAGCTGATCCTTTATTTAAATTTTAGCACATCTTTTTTGAGCAAATTAAAAAAACACTATTAGCTATTTTATTAATTGTAGAAATATTTTCAGAACCCTTACCCCCTTCATCGTTTTATTTAATAATTTTGGAAAGCCTATAAATCCAATAAAAATGCCAAAGACGAGCGCCACAGCCGAACCGATAAGAATTTTTTTGTACATTTTCTTAAAACCATTAGTCATATTAAATATTTAATTTTTTATATTAATTTCCACTATTGTTGACAACAAAGCTTTTAACTGAAATGTACGCACACGATTTTAAAAAGAAACTGTTTAGACATTTTCGCCGTTTGCTGATTTTATTCTGTCTTCACCTTAGCAGTCGACGCATGATAATTGCAGTATTACTTGCATTGCAGCAATTACTTGCTTCCACATACATACATATGTACGTGTCCTTTCCCTCCTTACTGTTTCTTTGTTAATAATTTTTTATGAATATTTAATGTACCCCTTTCGTCGTCGGGTCTTCTTGCAAACGGCATGCCGTCTTAATTCTACGGCTAGTATTTATTGCGACGGCATTTTCAATTGAAGGGGCGTTGTTTTTGTGCTATTCTCACTATTTATGGACACGCGTGAATGCCTACGTATGTATGTACATATGTACTTAGACTTAACCGGAAGAAAATTTTTGGGAGGTTACTTACTTATATATATACATATGTAACACTTTGTCATACAACAACTTTGCCTTGCGTTATGAAAATGTAAAATATTTACTTAGAGGCTGTTGTAGATATAGTCGCCGCCCCATGTCTACGTATTATGCGTGTAAATTTTTTGCTTTAAACGAGGACGGCTTGCGTGACCTTAATTTCAACGCCTCTTATGCATTCGTAAATAGAGCAATTCATTTATAGATAATAATATATGCATAATTTTTGTTTTATTAACATATCTGTGTTTATTTACACATATAAAATTATATTTTGTAGTTATTTGCCGCCTGTTTTATCCCAGAAAATATGTGATTATGCGACATCAAAACATTGCCTAAAAAATCAATTTGTTGTTGGTGGTGGCATGATTTTACAAAAGATTACCTATAACACGTAGAAATAAAACAACAATAACATTAAAAAATAAAGGAGTTATACGTGTTTAACGTTGGTAGGTCTTATTTGACCCACCGTGCACATACATACATACATCCGACTAATACCACTTTTGATATCCCAAGCATTCATATCATGCATCAAAAAGTGCGATAGCGATCCGAAAGTTATCGCTTACTGGTTACAGAATCTCCCCCCAGTTTTAGGTTTTACGCGGAAAAAATTGTCAAAAATACAACTTATGACACATTAAGTAAAATTTTAAAGTTTTCCGTTTAAAATTGTTTAAGATAACTGCAAAAAATGAATAAAAAAAAATAAGCTACCTTTTTCCACTTTGCAACATAATCTGCTTTTAGTGAGGATATACAAAACCTTATTCCCATAAAAAAAATTTGAAAATAATTTCAAGTGAAACTCCCTTTTTTATCATGATAAATACTATACAAACAACTAAAATTTACTGCAGTAAAACCCGATTAAGTGCCCCATAAACACATAAAGAAACACTTTATTAAAAAAAAAAAAATTGATAAAGCAATGTTATGTAATTTTTACAAGAACTAAAAGTCATTGATTATACATATTTATAAATACATGCATACAAAATTCAAAATCATATTGTTTGCCAGTTAAGCTTATTTATTAATTTTTAAGATTTTTCAATTAAAATACAATTCACTTCCTAACAAATACCAAATAAATCGAAGCTTAATTGTTGGTATTACAAAGAAGAAAAGTTATACTCTAAGATGCTATAGAACCTTAAATATAGGCCACAATCGTATTTTGTGCACCTTTAGGTTAAACTATCTCGGAAACCTGAGTTGGCAAAGCAGTTATGATCCCGGATTGGATTCAGAACGTCGAAAATATCTGGTTTCGATTAATTTTCTCGGCTAGAGTAAACTTTATCTGAGAATTAATGTACCTCCAGTTGTATCCGTAAGAGATTATTCTGGATTAATTGATATCCAATTGAATTTCCTGGAAACAATTTCGGGTATACTCACTTCAGAGATTAGTTGCGAATTTTTTTCCAGAGATTTACTATGCAAACATACAAACTTATACAGTCATGTGAAAAACAATTTTGACCAGTTTTGGCTATTTTCTTTTGTTGGTTTAATGTTTCATATTTTTTTTTTATAAAAATACAGCTCATTATCTAACAAAAACCATATAAGTGCAAATATCAGACTTTGTAGAAAACTTCAGGAAGTTTTTACAACAACAACAAACTTTTTATTAAGAATTTTTAGAAAGAAATCTAAATATGCAGTTTTATAGCCTATTTAATTCTACCTTAAGAAAATGCAAGTTTCAAGTGGCTAAGAATTTGCGTTGATTTTTGCTAATTTTTATAATTTTTCTTCCATTGTATGGAAGAAAATGCGTGATTCTATGTTTCACGTGTGAAAATTTGGTTTTGCTTATGCGATGTTTAAATCTACGAGCATGTAGCTGTGACACAAACCAATATTGCAGTTAGAAACATTGCGCATTGTACAGTGGTGGAACATTTGTGGTAACAAAAATGTATAATTTTTTAATGGTAAAATGGTAGACAAATCCACCTTTGCTGCAAGAGTTGACTACTAACCGTGGGCAAAAATGTATAAAAAACGTATAGAAAAGTTTGTATTACGTTCGCATTAATATATAGTAACCAAACAAGAAGAAATGCTTAAGTAAGAACTCTACTTCGAGTTTTGCAGACGTTGTGACTTCAGTGTCCATGACGCCATATAAAAAGTTGAACGCTTTTAAGTTGTATTTGAAGTTCCATTTTTAGGATTTAAGTATGGATCTTTACAGTGGCGATGGTAGGCATTTACTACAGGGGCTTTAAGTTTTTAAGTTTTACCACATATTTGTTTTTAAAATAGTTAGGCAAGAACTATCTTCCGGAAGTAGATATAGATTGTTCGTACCTTTAAGACCAAAGAAATGATGAAGCTCCAGCGATGAGTTGTGAATTACACGGAGGCTCCCTTATCTAACGCAGAAAACGCAGAACAGTTATGTATGTGCTGCCGACGACCATCAATTGCATGCTCTTATAGTAAATTTTTCCTTAGCGGTTCAGTTCTAGGGTTCTTATTATCTTCTCCGCACTACTTTCACTGCTGTCACCATTCCACACCGGGGGGAAAGTGTTTAGTTTGATTAGTGTTACCCGATTTACGACGAAGTATCGGTGGCGCTCTATGCAAGACGCTCAGTTTCACCTGGGCCTTATTATCTTCTCTCTTGCATTGGATTTGTACAGAAATTTTTTTTTGACCGATACTGTTTTATGAGGTAAAAGAATAGGGGCTGTATATAGGCTATCACATTTCGCCGGCGGGCCTGTCCAGCGAAAATTTGGCATTAAAAACTACCACCAGGCTTATTGCCATGAAGCGGCTACAGTAAGAGTAGTATAGCGCCAACATTTTCTGGTCCGATCAGATTTGCAAAAGAGTTCAGGGGGAGCTTTGCAGGTTGAAGGCTAGCATGAGGGCATCATGATGGCTGGCTCGACGAATGTTTCCCAGGCAGACATTTTTGCCATAAAATCGGAACTATTGAGCACTAAGCATGGCTCGAAATTCGGAGGTAAGGTAGAAGGGGCGTTTTCTCATGAATCCCTCCTCTTAAAATCTCTTTTACGTTGCCAGACATAACAAGTTCTGCAATCAAAGCTTTAGTCTCTTTCATGTCTTACTCAAAGATTTCGCTGGATTGCGGCCTATCTCTACAAAAGATGGACAAGCATGGTCATAGGGACATAGAGGGAAACTGCATGGCAGATGAACTTGCAAGGCAAGGCCTTTTGACACTTGCAAGCTGCTCTACTTGGTGAATTTGTATACAAACAAGCTGAAGAAAGATAGATTCAAAGTACGACTTGTCTAATTTCCAGGCGGACGTGGCCTAAATGGGATCGGAAGCGGTCATGAAAGGTATACTCTCTTGGAAGAGACGATGCACATATATAACGTTGTGGGGACTCTAACCGGGCACGGTCTAAAAGGTAAGTATGCAGAAAGGCTCGGCGTGCCCTTCAGAAGATGTTACAGAAGCTGCAAGGAGTACGAAAATGAGGAACCAGTTTTGTATCTCTAGTGTAAATGAACTGCACTGTGCAGAAACAGGCTGCGTCATTTGGGTTCACCGTTCCTGGTCGAACTTAGAAAGGTTTCAAATACCGATGCAAGGTGCCTGATGAGATTCATCAGCGACACGAAGTGGTTTAACAGGAATGATATATGAACACTTCTACCTACCTTTTTTTCTTAAGCCTTTACATAATTAAAATACAGTTATTTCATTTATAATAATTTGTTAATATTTATTAAAAAATTTGGCATAGAAAAATACTAAAAACAACATTCACGAATAGGTTACAGTGGAAATATATTCCTTAGTATTTACGTGTATGTGTGTAAAAACTCACATTCATATTTATGTATAATTCATACATGGTTATGTACATACAGTGACTCAAACAAGTGTTCACATGTTGATTTTTTTATTTTATATAAAAATAATGTTTCTGCTTTAACCAAAACCATACAAATTATAGTTTCGAACTTTATAAGAATTTTAGAAAAATTCAACAAATTTTCATCGAAATGGGGAAAAGGTCAAAAGGCCGTCAGCAAAAAAATAGAAATATTAAAAATCAACTCGAATTATTTACCGGTTGAACCTTGCACTCCGCCATACTAAAAAATATTGTTCATGCTTTAACCAAAACAATATAAATCAATGTTTTAAACTTTATACAAAATTTTAATCGAAATTGAAAAAAGTGCAAAGGAAGTCAGCAAACATTAATTTTAAAACAATGCGAATATTTAGCCAGTTGAAATTTGCACTTCATCATACTAAAATTTTATGGGCTGTAAAACTGTAGACACGCAATTTTTCAAAAAAAAAAAAAACAAAAAAAAAATTTTAAAAAGCTCAAAATTTTGATGAGAATATGTTAATTGCTTCTAAATTTTGTGTGAAGTTTGAAATTTTAGCGTGTATGGTGTTTGGTGAAAGCATTTACAATATTTTTATAAAAAATAACAAATTAATTTTAACTTGCGAATATTAAAAAAAATCAACATGTGAATACTTATTTGAGTTACTGTATTTGTATAAAGCATATGCATTTCTAATTGCATATAATTTTAAAACACTTTGTGTGTATCTACATATTCTAACGTTATATTTATGCTTATATGTATGCTATTTTAAATTTATATGTACGTATGTATACTAAATTTAACATTTTCACTTTGTCACTATTGCAATTATTTACATTTAAAACATTGTCTTATATATATATGTATGTATGTATGAATGTGCGAACATATCTAATTTATGTGCATATATATTTCTTTTTATTAACAATACAAATACATTTTAACACTGAAAGTGTATTCGAGTTTAGTAGGAATTGAAATTTACTAAAAAAAAAGTTGCCAACAATACATTTGTTTAAATTTACCAGCTTTTTGCAGATATTGTAAATTTAATTTATACCTACCTGTAAAACATCTACATAAACATATCTATTTTTGTATATTTGCCTGTACATAACTATTTAGTCGTACAAATACACAGCATTGCTTATAACTGTTATGCATCTATTTGGGCTTTTATATATACATACATACATATGCAATATATTTCTATATACATATATGAGACGTTCCATACCAAAACGGACGGGGTTCACACTTCATGTGTTTGATTTGTTTCAAATTTTCAGGGTTGATGCATAAAAATAAATAACAAATAAATATGAAATTTGAGCTGGATTAATACCTTTTTAAAACCTTTACAGCACAAAAACAAAAACAAATCGATTTAGTAGTTTTCTAAATATCTCGAGAATGGGGCGAGTAAGAAATTTGAAAAAAATTTCTATGAAAATAAATATTTTTCAAATTATTTTCTGGAAAAGTTTTTCACATAAAATTTTTTCATAAAAAAAATTAGTTTTTGAAAATATGCCATCTCAAAAAAAAATTAAAAAAAATCAGAGTGGTAGCTGTGAGTAGATATTGCGTAATATTTAAGTATGGTATTATGGGGCGCACTCTACAATAATTTGAGTTATAAATTTTTTTTTACACCGAAGTTCATTTTTTTTGAGATGGCATATTTTCAATAACATTTTTTTTTTATCAAAAAATTTGTATGTGAAAATTTTTCAAGAATAAAAATTTTAAAAATATTTATTTTCATAGAGAATTTTGCTAAGTTTATGTATGATTTTTTCAAATTTTATTTGAGATATTTGGAAAACTATTAAATCGATTTGTTTTTGTTTTTGTGTTGTAACGATTTTAAAAATGTATTAATCAAGCTCAAATTTCTTATTTATTTATTATTTATGTTTATGCATCAACCCTAAAAATTTGAAACAAATCAAACACATGAAGTGTGAACCCCGTCCGTTTTGGTATGAAACGCCCCTTATACATACATACATATGTATGGATAGTTGCATGTACTATATGTAAGAAACTTCTTAGCCAGAAGTTAAATGTCAGTTCGCTTTGTTGCAGCTTAAATTTAAATATCTCTTTTCTTTTAGCAACTACATATAACTATAATCCTAAACACACACACATATCTACTATAACTAAAAGATAAATCAGTCGTCTGGCAGCAAGCGTCACCATGAGCTGCCTGCCAAACATTTTCCATGTGAATATGCATGTAGAGATATAGATAGAATTGCAGTTGCCTTCCACATAGCGATTTGATTTTTTTCTGCATACATACATAGTTATGTAGTTAGTGACTTTTTATTTTAAATAGTAAATTCACTTTGTCATATGTATGTATACTTAGGGCTAAACGTTTGATTTTATGTACAGTTACATTGGTGCGATTAGTTTTTACTTAGTCCAATTCCAGATAATTGATCTCTTTGGTCAACGTTTGTACCGCCTGTTGTGTTTGTAAATTTTCAATGAGCGCTGTTTGTTCGGGCAGCAGCTCTGCTGCTGTCGCCGTATTATTGTTGGGAAGCGCAACAGGTGGCATATAATTAGGTGGCCCCGTTTGTGGCGGTTGGTTGTTGTTTGGCATCACTGTGGTGGGTGTGAATGTCGTTGTTGATGTATTTGTTGTAAGCGTGTGTGTACTGCTATTCGAACCGGGCACAAAAACACTGAAAAGAGCGAAAAGAGAAGGGTTTATTATTAGCTCAATTGGGTTCAATTTAAAGTGAATGAAATGATATTATAAATTAAGAGCACTGAAAAACCAGTAGGTCCATGGACATAATAACATTTAATTATAAACTGTTGTTGCATCCTTAATAAGTTGTTTGGGAGCTTTATATTATTCTAAATTGATTTTTATCTGAAGACACACTAATGACAGCCGGAGTATTAGGAATCTTTTGATTCGTTCATAGAACTTCAGGTAGTCGTAATCGACAGAGTCGTCTCTGATCGGAAAATAACACCGAAACACTGGCTACGTGAAGAGGCGAAGCTCATGTGGACCCGATGCTTGAGGCCGTCAGCGAGGAGCTAATCTTCAAAGGTGTGGTGTGCTAGAAGACGGCAATAAGATTCTTGGCTAGGGGAATGGAAAATTTGTATACTTTTTTAACACGCCCAATCAGAAGTATAGACTCCCTTTTGCCGCTAGGCTCAAAGTTCTTTCTAGCTCAAAGGTACCAGTATGTCCAATAATTTCAGTGTGTACAGATCAAACGCCGCTCGGGCTAGGCACCCGTGACACAAGATCTTAGTGAAGAAGTTGATCTTTGTGCTGAATCTGTTGGAAGTTATCACAGAAAATTATCAGGATTTAGCCGTAATCCAAGAGCATTGGTTTGTCAAAGCTCCGGTTAGTGGATTGTGGGGAGCGGGGATAAAGGCAAAAATATGCATACCTTCCAAAAACGAATCTCTTTATTTTAGGCTTTAGCCATCTCTGGCACATGGGAAATCGAGACCTAACATTTACACACTACCCTGTGTTCATTTTACAAGCTTTTATTTAATTTCAATCAATATTTCACTAATTTCCCGATGGGCTAGAGACCTGAAACTTCAACAAACTTAGCTCATAATTCGATGACAATGCATTATGCAATATGAAATAATCCGCTAGGTGGCACAGGAGTCGAGACATTTGGAAAACCCGTACTTATGGCATGGACCGAGAAAAAAACGTATGATCGAAACGGTTCAAATACAAAACCAAAATGAGAACAACACTGTCGAGAACGTTCTCAATGGGAATTACATAAGAAAAAAACCCTGTGGATCGTTCACAAGGAGAAAAATGGGACCAATACTTTCCGGAACATTTTTAAGTGAAAAAATGCGAACATTTTGGAAAAGAAAACTCTAAGAACCATCTCTCGAATAAACATTTCGGAACTAAAGTCTCAGGAAATTTTTGACAGAGAACGAAACGGAAACAAATTTTCTCTGAACTATTCGCGAATAATGGAAGCGAGAAAAAAATTCTGCACATAATTTTCATTTGAAAATTAAATTTTAACAAAAAAGGACTGAAAGATAATTATTTTAATTTTAATTTTTTATTTTTTTTTTTTGCATAGAAAATGAAAAAAATATATTCCATAAATGAACAGTTCACCCTAGTGATAACCGATCTTGAGGTCGAAATTATCCATATTTCCTCTGGCTTAGAATTAACAATTGTGGTTCTCACTGAAACGATTTTTCATCCCAACACGCAGACGCCCCTCTCATTATTAACGTTTAGTTTTCAAAACTCTTGTTCTTGTTTTGTTTTCTGGCAAAACGTTCTTATTTGAACCTCCTTGATATAGTTTCGACACTTTCGTTCTCATTTTTTTCATTGGAAATGTTCCCGAAAGCTTCGTTCCCATTCTCTCTCTCTTGAGAACGTTTCCAAGTATTTTGTTCGCATTTTGTTCTTTACGGAAACTTTCCCGAACTTTTTGTTCCCGGTCAAACTGCTCTCAAGACTTTTGTTCCCATTTGGTTCTTTTACGGTAACTTTCTTGACATTACATTTTGTTCTCATGATTTAAGGTCCGATTTTATTCATATTTACAATATATATTACTTAAATATAAAGAAATAACGGCTTTAAAAAAAATAGCTGAAGTGTGGCGCAGGAGTCGAGATATTTGGGAAGCCCTGAACGTAGCCGGATTTGGTTCATATTCAGTAAGTTTGTTTTAAAAATATATTTTTACCAATAACCTTCTTTATTTTTCTTCTTTCTATCTAGCCTGTATGTAACATGGCTGATAAACCGATAACCAATAATAGGATAAGGAAGGAATCCTATGAGCGATAATGTGACGAATGCCGATGAATACATCATAGCGATTACACTACTGCGAAGCAACCCGAACACAACGCTTCTTCAATATTCTGGCATAGATAGCGCCGGTGGAATTCCAGGATATCTTCAGTTTCATGTGATCGGGAGTGGATTCTATTTCTTTCTTTTGGTTGAGTATCTGATAGGTTTCTAAATAGGCAAAAGGTGTCGTTTGTCCTTTTTTGACAAAAAAAAAAAAAACAATTTTAGGTATAAATGTTAAAGAACTTTCGGTTGACAAAATCAGCTCTATATTACATACATACATATTACTTTAAAAATACCTGTGCTTCTATAAAAGAACCTCAGTTGACTATTGTTTTCCTTAAGCGATAGCAATCTACTTACGTAGGCGCTTTAATCATTTAAATACATATTACCCATACATACCTTAATGAGTTCGTGGAACGATATAAAGGCGGTGGTGTATTCATGCGTAAGCCGCTGTAGACAGCACCATTGATTAAACTGCAAATATGAAGCATAATTTAAGGCGTTGAAATTTAATTAAAACGAATCTCTCTCCCCCCCCATATACTAACTACAAAACACTCACCCAATGGCCGCACACTCGTGCAATGACGTCAAATAGGATGGCGGTGGCGGTCGATGCTGAAATTCTGGATACAAATAACCACCGGGCAGTATACGATTATTACAATAGGGACTGTTACAATTGCGGCAAGTCTCCATCAGGCGATAGCAGGGACACTCATCCCCATCACCGGGTGAACTCAAACGCCAAATAATGCCGGCCACAATGAGCAGTGACAGCCCAATGCCGATCATCAGCAATGAGGCGCTTAAATACTGGGTGGTATGCTCAATGAGACCCGTCGCGCCCAGCACAACGCCACCCAGCGTACACGCAGCGCCACCAAGTGCGAATATGCCGATAATAAAGGGTACAATAGGGCGTGAGAAGCATTTACGGAAGGTGGAACTCACGGCATTGGCTGCACCACCGACCATCGTATTACTGGTGGCTGTGCCCGCACTACCACCACCAACCGCACCCGCACCTGCACCCGCACCACCAGCCGCAGCGCCAACAACGACGCCAGCCGGATTGTCCACAACAGCGGTGGGTGTATCAAGGAAGCGTCTGTAAAGGAAGAGATGAAAGTTAACAATTTATTATTTATGGCAGCTCGAATGTAATTGTTATCAATATAAGTATTTATATATGTATGTATAAGTTATTGTTTGGTGGAAAAATGTTTATGGTTGACAGCGGGTTACTTTTGGACAGCCGGTGATAAATAAAATATAAATAAAGTAGAGATTTTTTGTTGCGCAGTCACTACCTGCATTGCTCGCAATGCAGCTGAATATTTATTTTCCCTCTCAGCGTGGCTTGCGCAACGCATGGAGTGCAAAGTAAAAAAAATAAAAAATAAATGAAGGAAGGAAATTTTCACAAAAAGAAATAAAACCAGAATATGAAGGAAAAAACCACTTTACCTACCACACCAGCATTATCAGCACTCCTTTGTTGAGCAGCATCTTGCATGTTGCATGCCACTGACAGCCGACTGGCTGACTGCTGGCAGGTAAAAATGTGCGTTGCACACAAAGTCATTAGACGATTGGAAATAAAGGTGGAAAATCTTTGCTTGAGTCAATGTGTGCACACACGCACGCGTACGCACGCACACCTACACCCAATTGCACACAGACACGCCAGCAAACAATAAGAAAAGTGCTGCTTAGCAATGAAGCGTAGAGTTTTCGCTCGACAACTCGACGTCTTTGTCCTCTCACTTACAATAAGTTGGTCGGGCAGACGACATGTATGTATGTATGTATGTATGTGTGTCTGTGTGTAGCTCTAAGGCGTATCGGGGTCACAGTACTTTGCCGACATTCACCTTTGTTTGCCTGTCACTGCTGCAGCTCTAATGCTCAGTGTCGGCAAAGGATCTGGCCTGCCCTGCCGTTGGTCCATATGCAAAGGCTTTTATACTCAAAATTTTGATCCTTATTTTTATGTCTTTCTCGTGTTTTTTTTTTTTTTTTTTGTACTTACATCCTATTGACGTGCAACACCTGCCTAAATACCAATGATGCTTAAGTAACTACCTAATACGCTATGCGTACGTATGTACTTATTTGTGTGCGTATGCACCTTTAACTGGGTGTGTATAAATGAGCAATAGGGTGGCACGAAAAAAAAAAAATTTGGAATTTTAATGCTTTCATCCGATAGTGTTATTTTCCAAAAATATACCCCTTTTTTCATATATTTTTAAATCAAAAAATATTTAGTGGTCTTTCAAGGCGCTTAAATTTTTCCATGTACCTTATATGGAGAAAAAAAATTTTGTTGAAATCGTATAGAATGCTTGACAATCAATATTTTTCGATCGTAAAACTGTGCTTCTCTTCAGAACATCCAATTGTTTATTTAATAATTTTTCAATAACAACTATTTTTTATAGGTTTCCCAAAAACTCTAAAAATGCAATGGGGAATTGGAAGTCTTGTGAAGAGAAACATAGTTTTCCGATCGAAAAATATTGATTTTCAAGAATTCTATACCATTTCTAGAAACAATTGATTTCCCCCCCAAATAAAACACTTGCAAAACTTTGAGCACTTTGAAATATTTTTTTGATAAAAAAAGGGTAAATTTTTTCCGTATAGCATGGGATAAAAGCATTAAAACTACGACTTTACCTACTTTTTTTCATATAAAATCCATGGGAAGCTTTGAGCATTTTGAGCGATCTAAAATATTTCAAAATAAAAATGCCCACTCACTCCTAGTGGAGTGAGAGCACTTAAGCCAGCACTTTACCATTTTCACATGCATTTTTGGCCCACCCTACTGAGCAATGTGTCTACCTGCCTGCCTGCCATTTATTTGGCTATAATTTATGCCGAGTAAATGGGCAGCTGTTTTCTGCCTTCTTTTGTCTTCGATTCTTTTTTTTTTCACTGGCAGTTCAATTTCTATAATCTCACAAAAAAATGCATCTAATTTATTAGAATTTATTTGTCTCTTCGGATTGGGCTGGTCAGTAAGGCGTCCATTATGCGATTTATATCCTTTTGCGTAGAGGGAGCAGAGGAAATAGCTACACTGATTTTTCCTCTAGAAAATATCTATTTTCTTAGATGTTTTTTCACAGTTATGTACAAGCAAGTGTTTGACGTGCGAGAAAAAGGTAGGACAACAAGGAAAACGATGCGCTGCTAAGTTTGAGCAGATAATGCTTAGGATTTCATACATACATACCTAAGTACATTTTATTTATGTTAGTTTTTCATAAAGTGAATGATGTCCTAAAGCTTAAATTTGATGGGCAATTTGGTATCTACAGTTGAACCAAAAAAAAAAAACATATAACCTTAAGGGTAGATAAGGTGATTTATCGTTAATTCGATAGATACTATTATCAAATCCGAAAATTAGTGATGAAAAAAACTTTTAATTTCTTTTTGCGAAGCAATGCTCATATTAGAATTCCTTTGAAAGCATCTAGGTCTGTCGAAATATGTGCTCGTACAAAATTTTCTTTTTAATTGGGCTTCTTGAGGAATAGTATATAAGTCCGAACTAGGGAATGCGGAAATTACGGAAAATGTGATTAGTGTTAAAGCGAGATTTTGTTCTTCACTACTCTGGGGTCTTACCGCCCGTACTTTTCTCGTCAATTATCCAGCTATGGACTGTCAAATCATAGCGTATGCTGATGACGTTGGCTCTGAGACACTCGAGAAAGCGTACCGAAGTTTGGAGAGAAATACAACAGCTGAGCCCTCTCTTTTGTTAACAAATGGTCTGTCGAAATAAAACTTCTGACTAGAAATATATGGTACCCAATTTTAAGTAACAGTACTTCCAAGATGAAGCATCGAGTAGTAATCGAAGGTGGAAAGTTTGATTGGAACCGAAAAATCAAAGGCAGATCGAGGAAAGACGTAACCGGTTCATAGATCAATGCACCATGATCTACTTTAGAATAGAGCCGGTTATAGCAAATTTCAAACGATTGCGTTGATTTTCTCGAATTTCGTCGTATTGTTGTGGTTATTGTTAGTATGGCAAATGTAATAGAATCATTTTTGTTGTTGGGACTGTCGAGGAAATGTTCGCCGAATTTTACACAAACCACTTTCGATTTGTGAGGTTTTTTTTTTAGAATTTTACAACTGCAGCACGCGAACAAGTTTTTTGCTGGCATCCCTGATTTAGAAGATATCTATCTAGATATCCATGTAGAGAACTCAGATTTAGTCATGCGTGTATTTTCCCAAAGCAAAACTATGAAAATACAACGGGGACCAAGGTTCAAGTTCAACGGTTAATTTTAAAATCGGCAACGAATTACTTAAATGGCATAGTGAGCAGTGGTTTCTGAAAAAACCCCCAATAAACCTTTGCTTTCACCAGCCTGCTCAGTGTAGTGTTTTGGAAGATGACCTAGAGGGTTTTACCTTATCTGCCCTTTCTCTCGCGCACTCTTTGATGGGTTTACAAGGCAAAAGTATAAGCTTTACATCAAACGATTTCTGCCACGATTGCAGAGTTTAAGGGTAGGGACCCGTCTCTTTCAGACACATTTCTTCGATTGCTTGTATAACATGGAATGTGCCCATATGGAGCACTTGGCCTAAGCGCGAATCTTCTTAATATGTGAATAAAGAAAGCTACCACTTCAACCTAACCCAACTTAATACACCCAGTATTCCAGCCACGTAGGCAGTTTTTGACTATGCCAGATTGTATCTAAAGGTCCATTTCGGACTATCGGGAATCATATTAATAATTAAGATTGGAAACTGAACTCCAAGATCTATAAAAATGAACAAGGGAAATTAAACAAAGACTCAATTTAACCCACCTATCTATCCTCTCCTCGAAATTGTGTGAAATTAATTCCTACCATCGTTTGATTTTATATCTGCTTCCACTCGAATGGGGCGTCTTGTTTGGAGAGCTGGACATTGCCACATTAAGTGGTTAATCGATTCCTCTTCTTCCCTATCCAGATAACGTCTACAGAGGGAGCTTGTTGGTATACGCCACCGATGGAACATTGGTGCTATGGCATTGCTATTGCCATGAGCCGAGCAGCCGACTCCTTTTCACAACGCTTTTTTCATTTTTAAGCTATCGATCTAGAAGGATATACCAATCTTTCTTAATTGGAAAATGCATGGACTGAGATAACTTTTAGAGCAGCAATTTCTCTCGCTTTTGTCTGACTCTGATTTTGATTAATTAATTTTTATACAATTTTTAGCTGACGGAATTTCTCTTACCTACTAAGAATTCAGTCTTCAGCCGGTTTTCGACCATGCACTAAAATGTCAAAAATTTGTTCTATGTATTGAAAAAATAACATTTCGAAACGTAATTAATAGCTATTTTCACAAAAGTAGTGACTGGAATCTTTTTAATGTCCAATATTTGTACAATAAAATTTTAAATTCTATGCCAAAAGTTACACTCTGATTCAATTCAAAGACATAGGAATTCATTACAATTAATATTTTTTTCTTTCCAACAAAGAATGTTCAAATTCCATTGAAGCACTTTTAAAATATTTCTTGAAAAATTCCATAAATGAATTTTAATTTTATTGTCCTTTCAAAAAGCTTTCAACACTACGGAATTCAATATTTAATAGAATTAAAGCTTAATTGCAATCAGAAAATTCATTTAATAAATTTTTAAATTTAAAACTGCCTACCGAAAAACTTTTGCACAAAATTTAATCAACAAATGGAGCGGCCGCGATACTCGCAAAAATTTTAAAAGCATATAAAATAAAGTACACTAAACTAAATAAATAAATTTCACAAAAATAAACTTATTTGAATTTTTCGAATTGCCATGGAAACAAAATTGAAATGTTAAAAATTTTCGCGCTACAGAAGTAAAAGTGCTGTCTGCAACAAATAGTCAAATCGTGTCGAATTATAAAAAAAAAAGGAAATCAAAAATCTACAACTGCAACAGGGAAAAAATATGGCAACATGCGCTTATAAATTTGGAACTAGCGCCAAAAATAAACAGAAATATAACACAAGTGTTGAGCAAAAATATACGTACCTACAAACAAGCATACAAATCTATTGAAGTATAAATTACAA